ACTCTGTATTTAGTTTATGAATTTAAGAAAATATGTAGAAAGAGAAATGGAAAAACTGTGTCAAACATAAGTGAAATGTAGTTATATTTTATTCACATTTCATTTATCTTTTTCCTTTCCCTTTCCAAATATGTGAACTAAATACAGAGTTAGGGGGAGTAAGCTAGATATAAAACTGTATTTCAGTTCTAAAAAACAAAAATATTATTTCATACTTACAAGACCGACCTAATGTATTCTACAGCCCATTTTACCTTAATGTAAGAGCACCAATCATGTTATTAAGGGCAGCACAAACACCATCATGTGCTTTAGGATAGAATGGACTCGTGCGAAAAAAAGAGAAATAAAACATGTTATGTCTAAATTACCTCCTGAGTCGTTTTACCAGCAATCTGATGCCTTCCCCTTTCGATTGCAGGGACCTACTTTAGTCTCAATAAAATGGGGAACAATGTACAAACAACAATTTCCTATTTGAAACCCAAACAAAATTTCATAATTTTAAATGTATCACAAGATTTCTTCTCATGTTGATGCACTGAAGAACTCTTGGCCGCTAGCCTAGGTCACACAGCCAAAGTCGAAGTTACTCTCCGATAAAGCTACAATGGAAAAAAGTAAGTTTCAATGCATAATAATTTCCAGTGTAGATATGTATATTATTATCAATGAGTTTGAATTCTTATACCTTTTAAGAATCCCCAATATGTGTTACTTTTTCACTTCCGAATGGAAAGGTCGACGTGCAGGTAAGCTACACAAGCCATGAAAAAGAAGAAAAACACAGATGCCAACATCAATGGCTCGGCGAGCATGAATATTGGGTTGAAGCTGTAGTAAACCTGCAATAGAAGATATCAAGTGAACATAAATGCCATAGCCATTATGAAATATATATAAGTCATAAAAAATAAATAAGAGAGAGAGAGAGAGAGAGAGAGAGAGAGAGAGAGAGAGAAGGAAATACTCCATGCTGGGTGGAGGAAACACACAAACACACCAAATGGGAACAGTTAATTAGTCTTTGTAGCCAGTGATGTCTATAGAATCAACGGTGATAGCAAATCGGTGACAATTATCCTGTTAAGCATGGCCTAACCTAAGAATTAGACCCATAAAAGGTAAAAGATAAGTAAACTCAACCTATCAAAACCATTCATAATTTTAGCAAAAGGTCAAAGAATGAAAAACCTCAATGGCCATGATCATCACTGCAAATAATTACCAAATTAATATAATCAAGAGATGCCCTGACTTCATTGCAACAAGAAAAATATGCCTAGTATAAAGCTATACTTTGCATCTAGGGTGAATCCGATGGCAGTTCCAGTTTCTCTCCTATAATAACACCATTACTTGGGTTCGCACTATTCTCCTGTCCATGTAAATGATAGAGGCTGTATGAAAGCTAGAATAACACCATTCCTTGCATTAAGGTCGAAAACTATGTGGGTGATAAAGAGCAAGTGGGTTGGTTGTGGAGCACTTGGACATGGTAGGCACTGAGATGACGAAATCGCTTAAGGTGGGCAGGGTGAGAGTTGACATGGTCTTAGGAAAAGAAAGAGAGAGTGCAGTAACAGTGGGCCAGAGAAGTGTTGAACCAGAGTCTCCAAGTTGTCAGGCAAGGATTAAAACTTCGTTTAGATGTATAGTTTTGCATAGGTTTTGGCATCAGCATCCATGGTGGGCCAATACTAATAGTAATTGAAATGGAGCAAGTGCTCAAACAACTTGGCTGTGTTCAGCCTCGTGAACTTTCTCAAGAACCTGGGGAATTTCAATGCCCACTAAACACAAGGGGATTGTTGTTGAAACCTCGGCACAAGAGCTTGGTGAACAAAGAACCAAAGCACTAAATTCTTGATCACAACATCAGTACGATTTGAAGGGAGAGACCTCTTTGTGAGCAGGGGTGGAACTACATAGGGGCCAAGAGAGCATAATAAACTATATTATAAAATGTAGTTATTTCAAGCCGAGTAATACCATGTAAAAAAGCTACCTTGATGTTTACAACTCCAAGTACTTTCCATAACTTCTTTTTCTTTTTTTTTTCGATAAACAAGTATTTTCCATAACTTCTTAAAGTAATCAAAGTATATTGTTCACAGATAACAGTCTACAAAATATGTCATCTATAAATGCAAGAAACAAGAGTAAAAAGTATGTTCCTTATCAATGAAAAAAGGTTTAAACATAACATAACAGGCTTTTACTTTATATTAGATATCTTCTTTGTTCACTAATGACTCTTTTAACATTTTTTAAAATACTGTCTATATTTTTCTGCAGACAATGTACATACACAAACTGGAAACATGATAAACAGCTAGAACAATACCTGGACACCAGGCAACGCCATTAGCTGAGAAATGAACTCAGGGTGACCTGGCCATGCTGCTCCAGTTACCAGATTCGACTTATTGGATCAGGTTCTAACCATGTTGCCCCACCTAAGACCACGTTGAGTTTCACTGCAGGGTATGCGGTACATTTCTTGCCCTGCAAAAGAGTCCATCGCTAAATCAGAACACAGTAATAGCACACCGACAAACTTCCATTTTCTCAACAAAAGAAAAAAACACACACACAGCAACTAATGCGCGGACCATAACTAACATTTCACTGGCAAAGAATTGATACTTTATGACACTGTTGGCATAGCATTTACATTTTTTCTGATGTAAGATTGAGGAAAAGTTTTGGGTGCCAATATTATATTCTGGACTAAATATCTATCATTTTCATGTTACTTATAGGGAGAGATTCACAATCGAGCTTGAGAACAAAAGCATGTCCTCATCAGCACAGAGGAAGATGATAATCAATTTAAAAAAACTAATCAAGAAATTTAAAAAAATCGCAAAATAGAATTAATGAAGCAATAATTGAAAGTGTAATTACTATGGATGATAAGTTTAGCACAAAATAGAATTTTCTTGCTATAAATGTTGGATCAATGAAATATGCTAAACAAAATTTCATATTAAAGCAACAAAAATGTTAATAATCTACCTTGAGAGCACCAGCAGCAGACAAAATCTGCTGTCCATGGCAGATTGATGCTACTGGCTTTCCAACCTCCATGAATTCCTTCACCAATTTAATAACTGACTCATCCAATGCTAGGTATTCTGGAGCTCTGCCTCCCGGGATCACAAGAGCATCATAGCTTGAAGCATTTAAACCTTCAAAACTAGCTGTTAGCGTAAAGTTATGACCTGGTTCAACGATCTGATCTGATCTAATCTGCAAATGAAAAAATTAGAGAGTTAATCAGCAGATTCGACAATGAGAAAGTAGACCAACAGAGATCGATCTAGTTCAAACTCGAACACCGATTAAGAGAATGAAAATTGTACCTGAGATAAGAGCAACAGAGATCGATCTGGTTCGAGAATGATATCGATTTTGGATCTGCGATTTGATGAAGAACAGATCGAGTTTGAGTTCAAGTTCGATGAAGAGACTGATCAAAGCTCTCCAGCGACAGATCGATGAAGAGCAACAAAGATCGAGAGTTCGACGAATATACAATGTAAAATCTGCAATCGAGCAAGCGAGCGAGAGAGAGTGAGAGAGAGTGTGTGTGTGTCTTTGATCTGGTTTGATGAATATCAGTTGAGGGCTTTGGAAGAGAGAGAGAAAGAGAGAGGGAGAGAGACCGAGCTACGGAAGAGACACAGAGAAAGTAAGAAACGGAGTATGGATGGTGTCAACATATACACCCAATACGACGCCGTTCAACTGAGCTCTAAGACAACGTTTTGAAAACGTTGTCTTTCATCCATCTATAATGGCGTTTCCAAAAATGCCATAAAAGAAACGTTGCAGTAGGCCATTTTTCCTGTAGTGAAAGGATTGTTTGAGTGATCATCTTCAAGAGTGTTCTTCTTCGGTGGAATCCGGAGATTCAAGCGTGGAGTGTTCGAAGGTGTTCGAAGCTGTGCGTGGTTGTTGTGTCGATGTGGATGTTGTGGAATCAACATCAATCTAATCAATTCTAAGATGAAGGTTGTGGTGGAAGACATACAAGTTGTTGAAGACAAATTGTCAAAGTTTGGATAATTTGTTTGGGTATTTTGTATTCTTTTTGGAGGTGCTCCAATAGTGATTTTTTCCATGTAAAAATTGTTTGTGTCAATTTATTGTTTTTGAAACAACAATCTAAATCATTTTCGCATTATTAGTTTTAATTGTTTGGGAATTAGTACAATTAAATCTTGTTCTAATCACGAATCACTTAAGTTTTTTAATTGGTATCAGAGCGGGCCACTCCTTGTTTTTATCAAAACTATAGGAGTGTGATTTTGTGTGATTGGTGATATGGATTCAATTCGCGAAGGTAACTCGACCCATAGACCTCTGTTACTTGATGGTACAAACTATTCTTATTAGAAAGCTCGTATGAGAGCGTTTTTAAAATCTATCGATGAGAAAGTTTGGCACTGTGTGATCTATGGGTGGAATGAAGCTGTTGTCACCATTGATGGTGTTGATATTCCCAAACCTCTTAATAAATGGGACGCATTTGACTATTAAAACTTGAGTTGGAATAGTAAGGCTCTCAATTCCCTCTTTTGCTCCGTCACACCTGAAGAGTTTCGTTGTATTTGCACGTGTGAGGTAGCAAAAGAGGCTTGGGACATCCTTGAAATTATTCACGAGGGTACTATTTCTGTTAAAAGGTCAAAACTTCAACGTCTCACATTTTCTTTTGAAACTCTTTTTATGCGTGATGATGAGACACTTGATGATTTTTATGCTAAACTCAGTGACATCGTGAATTCTTGTTTCACACTCGGTGAAAAAATCCCCGAAGCTAAGGTTGTTGGAAAAATTTTGAGATTTTTACCTGAGAGGTTCCAATCAAAAGTTACAGCTATTGAGGGGGCTTAGAATGTTGATACCCTCAAGCTTAATCAATTGGTTGGAAACTTGCAGACTTATGAAGCCCACTAGATTTCTAAGAAAAAAAACAAAAAGATAGTGTGGCTTTTACTAGTGTTTATCAGATTGCAAAGACCCCTGAGATTAAGTTTGATCTAGAGTCCGAAATGACGACTATGTTTACTAAACAGTTCAAAAAAAATTTAAAGAAAAAGAAGCCTAATTTTAAGGACCCTATTTCAAAAAATAAGAGTAATGAAAAACCTAAAACTTTCCCATAAAAAATTGCTCCAAAAACTGAAAAGAAGACTGTGAAGGGGCAAGGTGTCAAGTCTTACGAATGTCAAGGGTTTGGACATATTGCTCTTGAATGTCTATCAAAAAAGAACTAGAAGAAAGTTTATACAGTGACTTGGGATGATGAAAGCGGGTCAGAGCAAGAATCTGAAGAAACCGAATCCGATAAAGATGGAGATAGTACTTGCATGGCATTCTGGTCTATTGTCACTCAACCTCCTCCAAAGCTAGTGGAAATTGCTCGTGGTCAGAATCTGTACTGTGCTCCTATCTTTGATGGGAGTAATTATATGTTCTAGAAGATCAGAATGAGGATGTTTTTGAGAGTTCACGACCCTAAGGGCTGGCAAGCCATTAAAGAGGATGTTGAAAGTGCTGACAATCCAAGCAATCAAAGAGTTCTAACTACTATTCGTGAAACAATTTCTAACGAAGAATAGCAACGGATTGCTCACTGCACAAAGGCCAAAGATGCATGGGACATTCTGAGTCAATTTCATGAAAGAGGAGAGTCATCTTCACCACCATCTATCAACTTTCATGCCTTAGTTGCTCGACTGGATGAGGTCTAGGAGAAAGATGAGCAAAAAGAAGATGATAAAACCTCAGAAGACAATGATGAGATTGATGGTGATGACCTACAACAAGCTTATGAAAAGCTTTACGATGAATCTCTGAATTTGTCCAAGATCAATGACAAATTCAGGCCCCGTTTGGGGACTTACTTTTTTAGCCAATTAGTCAAAAAGTTACTAAATTAGCCAAAAAGCCAACAACTCATACCAAAAAGTCAAAGATTCTCTTTTCTCTCTACTTTTTGCACATCTTTTCGTAATTAGCCAAAAAGTCATCCCAAACATACAAGTTTTTTTTACCTACCTTTTTAGCCAAATAGCCAAAAAGTTACTAAATTAGTCTGTTCCCAAACGAGGCCTCACTCTCAAGCTCAAAGAATGTGAAAGCGAGAATGTCAAGCTAAAAGGAGAGATTGAAGATGCAAAAAGAGATGTCATCAAGATCTCAAATGAAAGGCAAGACCTCTGCAGAAAGCTTCTAGCTTGTGAAACTGAAAGGAATGAACTTTTGAGCATCTATGCCACATTTGAAGAGAAGATTGGAATCCTTGAGATGTCACAAGCCACGTTGGAAGAGCTGATTGGTCAGAAAGAGAAAGAACTCAAAGTTGCTAGAGCCATGAATAATATGTGGAACAAAGGGTCAAAGACACTTGAAGGCATCATCGGGTCTCAACAAATAAGTGGTGATAAAAGTGGGATAGGCTATACTACTACAACACTTCAAAAGGGACAGACTTCTACATCACATGACCCGAAGACTCAAGCAAAGGGAAAGCTCAAGGGTGATACTTCTCTTCATCAATCCAAAGGGGGTAAGATCGACAAACTAGAGGTAAAACCTGTGTTTGTTTGTCATCATTATGGGAGGTATGGCCACATTTGTCCTTATTGTTTTGAGTTGTTTGGTAAAGTGTCTAAAAAGGGTAGAAATTCTAATACTTCTTGGGTTATGAGACAACCTTACATGTCTAGGCGGAACACCAAGATTCATGAGGGTGTTCACAATGCTAAGACGTCTACCAAGACTGTCAGTCCTGCTTCCACTAAGACCAAAAAGATATGGGTTAGAAAGAGTGACTTAACGTGTTTCGTTGTTCACACTGCACTGAAAGCACGTGACTCACACATGTGGTATCTTGATAGTGGGTGCTCTCGTCACATGTCTAGTGACAAATCTTACTTCACATCTCTTGATAAATATGAAGGAGGAATTGTTATCTTTGGAGATAGTGGCACTTCTAGAGTCATTGGTAAGGGCTCTATAAGTGTCTCTGGTCTTCTTAAACTTGAAAATGTTTTTCTTGTTGACAGCCTTAAAGCTAATCTATTGAGCATTAGTCAAATGTGTGATTCTCATCATGAAGTATTATTTTCAAAAAATAAATGTGAAATTTTGGATAAGAAAGGAAATACTGTCATGCATGGGGTTCGTACATCTGATAATTGTTATGGGATTGTTACCACTAATGATCTTACTTGTCACTCGGCCGTCATAAGTAACATTAACCTGTGGCATCAAAGATTAGGTCACTTGAATTTCAAAGACCTAACTAAGATTGCCAACAAAGAGCTTGTGAGAGGAGTACCCAAAATGGGTAAGAATGTGAACCATGTGTGTGGTCCGTGTCAACTTGGGAAGCAAACATGCTCCTCATAAAAAGGTGAACAGTTTCACAACCAAATGTCCTCTTGAACTGGTTCATATGAATCTTATGGGACCCACTTGCACTGAAAGCATTGGAGGTAAAAGATACATTTTTTTAACCATTGATGATTATACTCGTTTTTCATGGGTAAATATTTTAAGAGAAAAATCCGATACGTTTGATGCTTTCTAGGCCTTAGTCTTTCAAATCCAAAATAAACAGGGTGTTTCTATTAGGTGTATCATAAGAATCCGAACTGATCATGGTCGTGAGTTTGAAAATAGTTCGTTTTTGGATTTTTGTGATATGCATGGAATTATGCATGAATTTTCTGCACCGATTACTCCATAACAAATTGGAGTTGTTGAGAGGAAGAACATGGTTATTCAAGAGATGGCTAGGGTCATGCTCTTTAGTAAGAAAGTTCCTCCAAAGTTTTGGGCTGAAGCCTTAAATACCGCTGTTTATGTTGTAAATCATGTGTATTTAAGGCCCGACACTTTACAAACTCCATATGAATTGTGGAAGGGATTGAAACCTAATGTAAAATACTTCAAAACTTTTGGGAGTAAATGTTACATTTTCAAAGATAGAGAGCCCTTGGGCAAATTTGACTCCCGATGTGATGAATGTATTTTTCTAGGGTATTCAACCTCTAGTAGAGCTTTCCATGTCTATAACCTGCGTACTTTGTCTTTATTGGAATCGATCAATGTGGTTATAGATGACACGGGTTCTCTTACTTCAGCATTAAATGAGGAAGAAAATGGTGAGTCTCCAATCTTGGATATTAAACCACAAAATCAAGAAGAAACAGGGGACCAAGCTCAAGAAGGTGAGCCAGCACCAACTTCGAAGGTAAGTCTGAGTCCAAAGAGTGCACAAAGGGACACCACTATTGATGCTTTTGTCACTACAAGTCCAGAATTCAAACCATCAGCAAGGGTGAAACTGAATCATCCGGCTCAATAGGTGATTGGAAGTGTCTCAGATCGAATGAAAATCCGAAGACAAATTTGAGAGGAGGTATCTCATATGTGTTATGTTTCATTAATTGAACCTAAGAATATAAAAGAGGCCATACTATATAATAGTCAATGCTATGCATGAAGAATTAGATCAATTTGAACGTAACAATGTTTGGACTTTTGTCCCCAGACCTAGAGACATGAATGTGATAGGTATCAAGTGGATCTTTAAGAATAAATATGATGAGAATGGTACTATAATAGAAAT